CCCTGGGTTCAATCCCCAGTGCCTCTATCACCCAAATTATTACTGGATCACCAGTCAAGTACATTTTTAGCATATTGCTGATCTGTGTTGACTTGAGACCAGCAGTTTCTCTAAGCTTTCTACCATCAGCTATACCATGTGGGATCACTGATTATTTTCTTGGAGTAACAACTTTGTTTAATTTTGATTAAACAAAATTCATATTTTATTCAAGTTCTTCCTTTCCTCTAAATTCCTATCCTAACTTTCTTTTGGCTCTGTGTCCTTGTTAATTTCCAAGGGCTATGTTAGGTAAACAAGAATCAACAACCTGGATTATTTTCTACATTTATGTCAAAGGAGTTTATGATTTATGAATATATATGGAAGGATTTTTGTGAAGCAAAAAGTGGGAAACTTCATATGCTTTTGGACTTAATATTTATATGCAACTTTTAGGATTTGAAAAGTAGTTGATATGGTTGTGAGTACCTGTTAGGACCTGAATTCTACTCAGGGCATTAGATGCTGTATTTTCAGAGAGATGTAGACCCTGCCCTCAAAGATTAGAATCTGTGGAAGAAATGGACTTGTAAACACATAATTTGATTCTATTGAGGTATATAGAATGATAGATATATTAAGGCATTCTTTGAATTGAAAGTGGCATTTACCTTACTGCTGAGGGCCATTGCCAAGTAGGAATGACGCATCGAAATTTCCTTGCCAGCGTACCCCATGTTAAATGGACTTGCCTTGGAAATTTGCTGTGACATTGCATGTGTGTTTGAGAAAGGTGACCCTGCTCAAGGACCAGGGTGGATCCAGGTTTAGGGTGTATCCTGCAGGTTTTAGGAAGTATCCCGCTCCTTGGGTTTAGGGCATTCCCGGTTTAAGACAATTTGGGTCTAGGGCGTTCCCGGTTTAAGACAATCTGGGTTTAGGGCAGTTCCAGGTTTAAGGTTATTCCTGCTGGGAATAGGATAAAAAGCCTGGTGGAGTACGTGTATTTGTCGGGCAGAAGTTGGATTTCCCCAGAACGTGTGTAGAGGCCGGTGTGAGTTCGGGAATAAAGAATTGCTGTTTGAATCTACAAAGCTGTGAGTGGCTCGTGATTCTTGTGCCCAGCCAGACTGCGGCACCTTACTAGGGAAGGAGGACTCCTAGGGAAGTTATGCTTGGATTGAGACTTGAATGATAAATAGAAATTAATAAGATGGAGATGGTAACAGAAGGATATTTTAGGCTGTTAGAATAGCACAAACAGAAACACACATAAAGAAACAGTATATTAGGATTGCAAGAAGGGGAATTGCAAACAGGTTATTATTTGAGCGTTAAGTATGGGAGGCAGGAATTTGTCAAATAAATACTAAAAAATAAGCCAGGGCCTGTTTTATTGAGTTTACATTCAATCTTCAGTGGTTCTCAAACCTGTCCAAGCCAATGTCACCTTCTTATAGTAAACATTTTCAAATATCTCTTTATTATCCTTCAGTGGAATTCTTATACAATAATAACTCATATATAATAAAAATTAACATGCATAATTTCTAATAAATCAATATAATACAAATGTAATGTAAATGAAAAATACAGTGAAACTAAAGTAATTTGAAAGGTTTATTTTAAAATGTAAATGTTTTGAGCATTAGAACATACAATGAATTAATTAGATGCTGTACCTATATGTAGAGTCACTATGAATGCATAGCAACAAATGTAGATATGCACAAATGTATTATATTGGTAGCTCAGATATTTTAAACAGCATTGCCCCCAATAATGTGTTTTTTCTAAAATGCTTAACATCCTGTTTGTGAAGTTATGCCCAAACAAAGTGTAAGTTATATTAGGTGCATTAGTGAAAAGTTGGATGTTTCTTAAATAAACTGTGGGAAATACTTTTGTGTAAAAATAGTTAATATCTAGGCTCTAATAATTATAAGCAGATTTTTCCACATAATGTCAGGTGGGGCATTGCACTCATGTAAGACATGGGTCAGTTTGTTTTATGTTATTGAGCAGGAGTTGGCAAACCATAGCCCACAGGTTGTGCTGCTTGTTTTATTTATTTATTTTTATTAGCTACACATGACATTACAATGATCTTGGCAATTCATACCATGTGCTGCTTATTTTTGAATAAATTAAAAAATTAAAGGGCTTGGAATATAGCTCAATAGTAGAGTGCCCTTGGGTTCCATCCCCAGTACTGGTGTTGTGTTGATGGAGGAGAGAATCAAAAGATGAGTAGCAGGCCATCAACTTTGGCTATCAGTAGATAGAGGTGGCATGCTTTGAGCAGTTTTTTTTTTTTTTTTTTTTTTTTGAGAGAGAGAGAGAGAGAGAGAGAGAGATTTTTTAATGTTTATTAG